CAATTTAGAGTTAACTGTGCGCTCTGGCATTTGCTGGCATTTCTGATGTTCATAGCAATACCTCACATGTGCGGTGCAATCACTGTTTACATATGTGTGCGGAACCTACATGCACATTTGCAATGTAAGTAAGGGGGAATAGGAGAAATTAAATTTTTTTAATGTATTATTTTATTTTATTTATTTTGTTTATTTCACACTTTCTTTAATTTTCTTTTTTTTAATGTTCCCTTATAGCTATCATGGGGATGAACGACATTCCTTGTGATAGCAGTGACAGGTACTCTTTACTGATAGATCTGGGTCTTTTAGTTCTCTGATCCCTCCTCTGCCCTTTGAGCAGCTGATATAACCAAGATCGGTTTGTTCGGCTGCCTCACTAGCTGGATAACAGTCAATAAAAAAAAAATAACCAAAACTGGAGTAATGAAATCCTTGACACTTCCGGTATCATTCATCACAGAGGAGGAGATGAACAGATGATCTTAGTTAAGTTAAGAAATATATTTTCAATATTTGCACAGATTGAGTGTGCACAGGCCCAATCCTCCATAGCTTTTTGCTGAAATTCATCCTATAGAAAAGGAATTGAAAAAGAAAATGACTGTTCTGGCGATGGATCTTGCCATTTCAGTTCCTAATGAACAACTTGCAGTTCCTACTAACGATGTTCCCTCTTTTAAGGATTCTGTTGATAGATGTCTGGAGGCTCTCCTAAAAACTATCTTTGATCTTGCAGATCTTGCACTGCAGACCAAAAAAAGACAGATTTAATGACCATGTTGCACCAACTTCAGGCAAAAGTAGTGCTTGTACCAGTTCCTTCAGAAAAGATTTTCAAGGTTTCTATTGAAATCTATTCACAGTTTCAAAACCAAATACGGGCTCTAAACAGATTTCTTTGTGTATCAATTTTCTGGATTAAATCAACAAGCGTCAGTAGACTACAAGATGCTTATCTTCAGATCCTCATCTCCCTCTCAAATCAATGTTTTCTACGTTTTGCTGTGGGAGACCAACACTTCTGATTTGTAGCACTACCATTTGGGGCTCTCCTCTGCAGCCTGAGTTTTACAAAAGTGCTTGACCCATTTCTACCTCTTCTGTGAACCTGGACAACCTCCTACTGAAGGACTCCACAGTCACAACCTTATCTTATAACATCCAAAGAACAATTGCTTCAAACCTTTGTCTGGATAATCAACTTTCCAGTTTACACTGCCTACAGTATCCAGGTCTAATCTTGGACAAAGATTGGAATTTTCCTTTCTCAGGAGAAAGTTGCTTTTGTAAAGTTACACACAAAGACTCCCTGAGTTTGCCCCTGTACTAGGGTTCTGGGTTAGGGTTCAATGGCAGCCTTCTCTGAGGCAGTTTCCTTTGCCAAGTTTCACCCGAGACCTCTTCTACACAACATACTCTTGGTTTGCCCAATGCTTCTGTTCAGCTAGACAAAGGTTTCCCTATAATGGTGGAGAACCAGTCAGGTCAAGCTGTTCTAAGAGAAACAAGCTGGATACTGTCCTGGGCAGAGATTCACATTCCAGCTCTCTTGTTGTCTGTAGTGCCAAGTTCTACCAAACCATACCTGAGGTCTGTACCCCTAATATTTTTGGAAAAAAATCAGAATATGGGGATAGGGTGTAATGCAGAGAATGTGAGATTAAAAATGCTTCTTTCAGCAGTCAGTCTCAGGTATATGTTGGATTTGTATTGTCAGCCCTGGGCATCAGTAGAATGCACATTGTTAGTCACTGATATCCATGGGATTTATAGGGGGAAATTTACTAAAACCGGTGCACACAGAATCAGGGGGGATATGTATTGTCAGTCCTAGGTATAAGTGAATGCATATTGTCAGAGAAGAGGTTTGTGCTGCAAATATTTTCCCTGAATTCTTGGTGGCATCAGGCATCAAGACAGAAAAAACATAAGAGTACATAACATAAGTTTTAACCCTTCCGTACTCTGAAGTAAAAACTGCATTTTTTGTTGGAGATCTACTTTAATGCTAAACATAGTTATGGCCTACAAACAGGATAAACAGGAGAACATAGCTATACAATACATTAAAACATTAGGCAAATTACTAAATAAAATCCCAATGTCAAATAAAAGATAGGAAAAATAATATTAGTATGTAAACATTAGTACAAAAAATAATGCCAAGGTACCTAAAATGAAATGGCTTTGAAAATCCTCTGTGGACAGAAAGTAGTTAAATGAAAAAAAACCCTTCTGTAAGCTCTATTAGAAAATGAATGTGGGGGAAAATCTTGCTGCTCATTTCAATTTGCTGAGTCACTGCGCATGAAGTATTGTCAGACTAACATACAGGAATTTGTTTTGATAATGTATTAACCAGCTAAAAGTCAATGTTTATAGGCTAGCTTCAGAGTTACAAGTAATCACTTATACTGTAGTTCATAGCAGTGGTATGTGTGTACCCCAGGGGCTACTTCTAACAGATCCAGGAGTCTGCTTCCCTCATTGCGAAAGATGCATGGTATCTGTAACAAAAAGACAACAGCTTTGTGATAGACACTTTGCACTTTCTAAGTTCCCAAATAAGAAGCCCAATTAACAGTTTTGCATTCATTAAGGGTGTATGCAAAGCTCTGGGTTGGAGATATAAGGCAGCTGGGTGAGCAGCCCTGCATAGTCCAGATCGACATGTGAGCAGTCAGGCAGAAGTCTAATAGCACATGGCTTCACCAGAAGACCCAGCCACTGTGGGGAGCCCCTCCCCAATCGCTACCTGTGTGTTCCAGTTAGGTGGTCCTTGGATCCCTTCAGCTCTTCACTTGTGTTATCATAGGTACCCAAGACTGTATTCAGAGGGATGCTGTTTGAGAATAACCACAAGTAGCTGTTTGTGTCCTGAACTGTTTTACTCAATTAGCGGTTTTCAGCTAGACGCTCTGCTGTTATGGAGTATTGTAGAGACTATGCTATGTGTAACGGAACCGACCCATTCAGATATGTGATAAACAATACAATTTATTAACACTAACCATACAAACATAAACGCAGTGCAATACTAAACATAATACAGTGCAAACAAACCAAACCAAACCACCCACAGATAACAGTACATACAAGCAAGCGTCGTCAGGCAGGCCGGGTCAATATCAATTGGGCAGGTAGGTACAGGGGGAGCAAGCAGAGAATGGTCGGGGTCACAGGCCAGGTTCAGCAGGTAGCAAGCAGCGTAGTACAGAGGGTCAGGCAGAGGGATGGTCAGGGTCACAAGCCAGAGATCAAAACAGGTAACAAGCAGCGTAGTACAGAGGGTCAGGCAGAGGGACAGAAACAGGATGCAGGACAGATACAGGGCCCAGGACAAACACAACACCAAGGCAGAGTCTGTGGGTCTGGCCATCCCTTAAATACCCCAGCATCATCAGTTCCAGGTGTTAGCTGGCTGAAAGGTTGAGTCTCTGATTGCTGGGAGCACCCGCTGGCCAGCCCTGGTACTGCAGATCAAAAGGCAGGTGAGTCCCACCATTGCTGGCCAGTCCATTCCTAACAGTACCCCCCCCCCCCCAAGGAGCGGCCTCAGGACGCTCCAAACAGTCCTAGCTGGGCAAAATGTTCCACCGCCCGGGTCTGGTAACTGGCGGGATATCAAAGACTGGCACACCGGGCAGGACTCCGGGCAGCGGCACACCGGGCTGGACTCCGGGCAGAGGCACACCGGGCTGGACTCCGGGCAGAGGCACACCGGGCAGAGGCACACCGGGCAGAGGCACACCGGGCAGAGGCACACCGGGCAGAGGCACCGGGCAGAGGCACATCGGGCAGAGGCACATCGGGAGGCACTCCGGGCAGAGGCACATCGGGCAGAGGCACATCGGGAGGACTCGGGCAGAGGCACATCGGGCAGAGGCACACCGGGCAGAGGCACATCGGGCACCGGGCAGAGGCACATGGCAGCACATCCGGGCAGAGGCACATCGGGCAGCAGACACATCGGGCAGAGGGACTCCGGGCAGAGGCACATCAGAGGCACCGGGCAGGACTCCGGGCAGAGCAGCAGAGGCACATCGGGGGACCCGGGCAGAGGCACATCGGGCAGGACTCCGGGCAGAGGCACATCGGGCAGGCGGGCAGAGGCACATCGGGCAGGACCCGGGCAGAGGCACAGGCGGGCAGGACCCCGGGCGGGCAGCAGGCACATCGGGCCCCCGGGCGAAGCAGCAGGCCCGGGCGGGCCCGGGCCCCCGGGCGGGAGCAGCAGGCACCGGGCCCCCGGGCGGAGCAGCAGGCACCGGGCCCCCGGGCGGAGCAGCAGGCACCGGGCCCCCGGGCGGGGCGACAGGCACCGGGCCCCCGGGCGGGGCAGCAGGCACCGGGCCCCCGGGCGGAGGCAGCAGGCAGGCACCGGGCCCCCGGGCGGGGCGACAGGCATCGGGCCCCCGGGCGGGGCAGCAGGCACCGGGCCCCCAGGGCGGGGCAGGGGGGCGACGGGGCATCGGGCCCCCAGGCGGGGCGCCCCCAGGCGGGGGGACAGGCATCGTGCCCCCAGGCGGGGCGACAGGCATCGGCCCCAGGGCGGGGCGACAGGCATCGTGCCCCCGGGCGGGCGGCGGGCGCCGGACCCCCAGGCGGAGCGACAGGTCGGGCCCTCGGGCCCAGGCAGGCGGAGCGGCGGGCGCCGGACCCCCAGATGGAGCGACAGGTCTCGGGCCCTCAGGCGGAGCGGCGGGCGCCGGACCCCCAGGCGGGGACAGGACGGGCCCTCAGGTCTCGGGGCCCGGACCCCCAGGCGCGAGCGGGCTCAGGGGCGCCGGACCCCCCAGGAGGAGCGACAGGTCTCGGGCCCTCAGGCGGAGCGGCGGGCGCCGGACCCCCAGATGGAGCGACAGGTCTCGGGCCCTCAGGCGGAGCGGCGGGCGCCGGACCCCCAGGCGGAGCGACAGGTCTCGGGCCCTCAGGCGGAGCGGCGGGCGCCGGACCCCCAGGCGGAGCGACAGGTCTCGGGCCCTCAAGCGGAGCGGCGGGCGCCGGACCCCCAGGCGGAGCGACAGGTCTCGGACCCTCAGGCGGGAGTGGCGGGCGCCGGACCCCCAGGCGGAACGACAGGTCTCAGGCCCCCAGGCGGGGCGGCGGGCACCGAGTCACCAGGCACAACCGTGGGCTCCGAGTCAACTGGGATGACCGCTGGCACTGGGTCAGACATTGGATCGTCTGGCTGGACAGCGGGCATCGGGTCACCAGGCATCAGGTCATTTGGCTCGACAGCGGGCACCGCGTCATCTGGCAAGGCAGTGGGCTCCGAGTCAACTGGTATGACCGCGGGCACTGGGTCAGACATTGGATCGTCTGGCTGGACAGCGGGCACTGGGTCACCAGGCATCAGGTCATTTGGCTCGACAGCGGGCACCGCGTCATCTGGCAAGGCAGTGGGCTCCGAGTCAACAGGCACGACAGTGAGCACCGGGTCATCAGGTACCGGATTGTCTGGCTCGACAGCGGGCATCGGGTCACCAGGTATGACAGCGGGCACTGGGTCACCAGGCATCAGGTCATTTGGCTCGACAGCGGGCACCGGATCAGGTACCGGATCATCTGGATCAACAGCGGGCATCGAGTCAACTGGCCTAATAGGATCGTCAGGCTGGATCAGTTCATCATGCTGGGTAGAGGCATCAGGCCGAGTAGAGGCTTCAGGCCGGCCGAGTAGAGGCTTCAGGCCGAGTAGAGGCATCAGGCCGAGTAGAGGCATCAGGCCAGGCCGAGTAGCCGGTAGATCAGGCCGAGTAGAGGCTTCAGGCCGAGTAGAGGCATCAGGCCGAGTAGAGGCTTCAGGCCGAGTAGAGGCATCAGGCCGAGTAGAGGCTTCAGGCCGAGTAGAGGCTTCAGGCCGAGTAGAGGCATCAGGCCGAGTAGAGGCATCAGGCTGCGTACCGGCATCAGGCTGAAGAGAGGCATCAGGCTGGTCTGCACTAAATGGTGGCAAAAATTCATCCCTGCATTCGGGGGAACCAGATGAAACCAACTCAGCACAAACCTCAATCAAAGGCTGCACCTCAGAGAACTCTGTGCCCTGATCTACTAGAACATGAGCGAGCCGTATACATTCTAGCAGTTCATCCCGGGTATACTCCTTCAGAGTTTGATAAGCATACTCCCTGTCATCAAACACTAGCAGATATAAATATTCAACCTCATCAAGATCCATCCTTCCCATCAACAAGCCAAGATGGCTTCCCTGTGCAGCCACTTCTGGTCAGGATTGGCCTTGGTGTAATGTCAGGGCTCCCAGGTATGACCAGAGGTGTGTGACTGATGCAGGGAAACGCAGACTTCAGATATGTGATAAACAATACAATTTATTAACACTAACCATACAAACATAAACGCAGTGCAATACTAAACATAATACAGTGCAAACAAACCAAACCACCCACAGATAACAGTACATACAAGCAAGCGTCGTCAGGCAGGCCGGGTCAATATCAATTGGGCAGGTAGGTACAGGGGGAGCAAGCAGAGAATGGTCGGGGTCACAGGCCAGGTTCAGCAGGTAGCAAGCAGCGTAGTACAGAGGGTCAGGCAGAGGGATGGTCAGGGTCACAAGCCAGAGATCAAAACAGGTAACAAGCAGCGTAGTACAGAGGGTCAGGCAGAGGGACAGAAACAGGATGCAGGACAGATACAGGGCCCAGGACAAACACAACACCAAGGCCGAGTCTGTGGGTCTGGCCATCCCTTAAATACCCCAGCATCATCAGTTCCAGGTGTAGCTGGCTGAAAGGTTGAGTCTCTGATTGCTGGGAGCACCCGCTGGCCAGCCCTGGTACTGCAGATCAAAAGGCAGGTGAGTCCCACCATTGCTGGCCAGTCCATTCCAGTCCACCATTGCTGGCCATATGGAGTATTTTAGAGACTATGCTATGTGTAACGGAACCGACCCAGTCTGTGCTTGGGTAATTCTGTTATAATATCGCTTCCCTGTCTGAACAAGTTCTTCTAACTTTGAACTTGTTTAGTAAACTGCAAGTTACAGTTACTCTCTATCTGTTCATTAAACTGATACATATTCTGCTGAACTTGGCATCACAAACTGAAAGCTGATTTCAGACTTATTTCAAACCCAGTGGGTTTTCCCTGCACATGTCCAATACCTAAGCTTAACCTTAAAGTGGTAGTAAAGTCACTTTGTATATTTGTACCTACAGGTAAGCTTTGAATAAAGCTTACCTGTAGGTAAAATGAATATTTCCTAAACGTTCACCATTTAGGAGATATTCTACGGAGCAGCAGCGGGTGACAATAGCGGCGTATGCGCTCTGAAGGAATGGCATACCTGTGCCGTTCCTTCAAAGCTGTGTGCCATGGCCAAAACTTCCACACGCATGTGTGGGAGTAATCTCATGGGTGGCTCAGCTAGTCAAGCAGCCGCAGGCCGCAAGCCCAGAAAGAGGACCAGGTGAAGATGGAAGCCTCCTGCAGTGGTGACAGTGTGCCACTGGAGGACTTCATTCTAAGGTAATGCCATGCATACTAGCACATTATGATATTACCTTGCAGGGAGAAGATTTTTTTTTGTCAGGTTTAATACCACTTTAAGATACAGTGTAAGTAAATGATGTATCCATTTAACCTCTGTACATTTTAAACATAGTTCACAGTCCTTTCCTCTTCTGATTTTCGGTATATGATTAATAGTTATGCATTTGAGTTGTGATACGGAATGTCTCTCTAGTTTTGCTTGCCCATGATGATACTCTGAAAGCAAGCAAAGTGGGAAAACAATCGTCTCATATTATCTAAAGCTGATCTATGCCAATTGTGTTATATTCAAGGCCACTGCTACTACAAAAGGGGTTAGCATAACATGTATTGATTGTCCATCCTGCTGGCCCCTTTCAGTCAAATTGATCAGCTGCTGTGACTTCCTTTTATTTATGTGGATTTCCTGATGAAATACAGTTACAGTTAAACGTTACATCTTTCTTCCAGCCACTACATAAACCAAAATGGTGGTACAGGTAACATCAGAACTGCTGTAATAAATAGCAAATACGTTTAAAATATAAATATCTGAAGACAAACTCACTTGGATACTTGGCTTAAATACCTTTTACTAAAACAAACTGATCACAATGTGTTCTAGATCTTTTACTGTTACAGCAGCAGTCTCACCTGCACTGGAAGGCCTTGCAAGCTATTAAAATTACTGCCATGCAGTGTTCTGATAAATTTGAAAAGAATGAGGAGGGGAACTATAAGAGCCAAAGCAGCCATCAATGCCAGAGGAAAGATCTCTAGACCTTTGGAAGCATCCGTTCCAGCTTGTATGGCTGACCACTAATTAAGAGAAAGACACATTCTTTTAAATACATTTTGTCATACTGAGAAAGCTCAAATATGTTTGCTGTAATACATTTCAAAGCATATCAAAAATGCTTTAATAGATGTGTTTTTTTTTCCTTATAGGATTTTTGCAAGCATGTAGAGCCCTTATGATCACATCCATTTGTTTGGGATTCTTTGGGACCATATTTGCATTTGCTGGCATGAAATGTACAAGAATTGGAGGGAATAACCACATGAAAGCTAAAATTGTCTGTTTAGCAGGAATCCTCTTTATACTTTCAGGTAAGATCCAGTCTAGTGTGTGCATGACACCCCTGAAGGGTCCACTGAAAATAATCTAGGTCTCCCTTATCTGTTCAGAGGCTGCCAGCCTGGGTACCAGCTCCAGAGCACACCAACAAACATGGGCTCAGTACAGGGGCTGTCTTTTTGGTAGGTTTATTGCAGTAATTCAGTAGGAGAGAGGGATAAAGGATACTCCAAAAACGCAAAACAGGTACCAGAGAGCAGATTATCAAGCAGACCTAAAAAACAGATTGTTCTTCACTGTGTACAACAGAACCAAATAACTAACTTTAGCCAGACTGGGGCAGGGTACTACAGGCAGTTACAAGCTTGTATATTCCCAACCTCAGAATTTACCACAGAGTAAGGGCTTGTTCATATTTTATGCACTAGAAAAATGCTGGTCTCCGCAAGGGCACAAAGAAAACAATTGTTTTTTTCTGCTCACAATGGAAATCAGGCAGCAGCTGCAAAGAATTGCTCTGTGGAAAACTGCAAAATGTCTGCATTTTTCTGCACTGCTGTGCAGCTCTCTGTCTCACCTTGTGTTTCTCTGCACAACAGCTGAGCTGCAGTGCATAGAGATGAATGCTGTCTCTTTGTGACTTTTCAATAAAGTAAAAAAAAAATAAGAAAACACAAGGCCCTTTTCCCAAAGCCCATCTAGCACAGACACTAGCCTACACAAGAAAACAAAACACTTTCCTGTGTGATTAGTGGGAACCAGCCTTAAAACAATAAACTAGATGGGGTAGCTATGGGGAACAACTGTATTTGGCCCTTTTTCAGTCATGCAACACTGTGCCCAAATTAATTTTATATACTTTTTTACATAGTTTGAGCTTTTATTGTAGTATTTATTAACCTTTCATTTTTTTCCTGATCCTAAAAGAATCTCAATATCATTGGCACTTTGACCCCCACCCCCTTTAAAACCACCTTTTTATTTTTCTGTGCACATTTCCTATACCCAATATTCAATTTATTTTTTGTGAAGCGCTCATCACTTCCCATGATCTCTAATGCCACCATAGGCCAAATAGCTTTATCGGGTCATGCAGCTTTTCCTTAGAGTTTTTCCTCCACTGAGATCTTCTACCTGGCACTTTACCAAAACACTGTTGCAAGATCCTGAGATTGGGCCTGATGTTCTTGAAGAACTAAACACCTAATTCAAAACCAACAATGTCATCATCCCACTTTCTTTAGATGTCAATGCGACATACAGTTGCAAGAAAACGTATGTGAACCCATTGGGATTACGTGGAGTTTTACATGAATTGGGCATAAAATGTGCTCTGAACGTCATCTAAGTCACAACACTAGAAGAACACAGTCTGCTGAACATAATACTACACAAACATTAGATGTTGCCATGGTTTAATAATTGCACATAACATGTAAACATTCACAGTGCGGGGAGGAAAACGTATGTGAGGCCCTAGCTTAATGACTTCTCCCAGAGCTAATTGGAGCCAGGAGTGAGCCAACCTTGACTCACAATCAGTGTGATGATATTGGATGTGTTACCGACAGCTGTCCTGCCCTTAAAAAACACACACCTGTTTTGGGTTTACTGGTTTCAGGAAACACTGTCTGATGTGAACCATGCCTCGCAGAAAAGAGCTCTTAGAAGACCTATGATCAAGAATTGTTGACTTGCATGAAGCTGGAAAGGGTTACAAAAAGTATCTCCAAAAGCCTTGATGTTCATGTGTCCACGGTAAGACAGACTGTCTACAAATGGAGAAAGTTTAGCACTGTTGCTACTCTCCCTAGGTGTGGTCGTCCTGTAAAAATGACTGCAAGAGAGCACAGCGCAGAATGCTGCATGAGGTAAAGAAGAATCCCAGAGTGTCAGCTAAAGACCTACAGAAATCTCTGGCACATGCTAACATTTTTGTTGACACATCTACAATAAGGAAAACATTAAACAAGAATGGAGTACATGGGAGGACACCACGGAGGAAGCCATTGCTGTCCAAAAAGAATATTGCAGCACGTTTGAAGTTTGCAAAAGAGCACCTGGATGTTCCACAGCACTACTGGCAAAATATACTGTGGACAGATGAAACCAAGTTTGAGTTGTTTGGGAAGAACACACAACACTATATGTGGAGAAAAAAAGGCACAGCACACCAACATCAAAACCTCATCCCCACTGTAAAACATGGCGGAGGGAGCATCATGGTTTGGGGCTGCTTTGCTGCCTCAGGGCCTGGACGGATTGTTGTCATTGATGGAAAAATGAATTCCAGAGTTTATCAAGACATTTTGCAGGAAAACGTACGACCATCTGTCCTCCAACTGAAGCTCCGCAGAGGATGGGTGATGCAACAGGAACAATGACCCAAAGCATACAAGTAATTCAACAAAATAATGGCTGCAACAGCACAGAATACGCCCTTCTGGAGTGGCCCAGTCAGAGTCCTGACCTCAACCCGATTGAAATGCTGTGGCATGAACTTAAGAGAGCGATTCACACCAGACATCCCAAGAATATTGCTACACTGAAACAGTTTTGTGAAGAGGAGTGGTCCAAAATTACTCCAGATCGTTGTGCAGGTCTGATCTGCAACTACAGGAAACGTTTTGGTTGAGGTTATTGCTGCCAAAGGAGGGTCAACCAGTTATTAAGTCCAAAGGTTCATATACTTTTTCCTCCCTGCACTGTGAATGTTTACATGTTATGTGCAATTAAACCATGGCAACATCTAATGTTTGTGTAGTATTATGTTCAGCAGACTGTGTTCTTCTATTGTTGTGACTTAGATGACGTTTCAGAGCACATTTTATGCCCAATTCATGCAAAACTCCACGTAATCCCAAGGGGTTCACATACTTTTTATTGCAACTGTACATGAACTTGAATTGCAACATAAACACTCAGGAGAGCTGCCCGAAGCAGAACTGACCAATGTAGGGCAAAAACATATGAACCACTCATTGTTTGAGGCAAAAAATGTTTTGATGAGCGTTAGATCTTTTTATGAGTATGGCAACAAATGCAGGCACTCACTAACTGAGGATCAGATGGAGCCTATCATACACTATATTGCCAGTATTGGGACGCCTGCCTTTACACGCACATGAACTTAAAAGGCATCCCATGTGGGGCACCAGTCTGAGCACAGTGGAGCACCTGTCACTTTAATATGGAGTTCGCAATCAAGAATCCAGCACGATTGCACTTTCATTTCACATATTGGGATTGTACCCTAAACCAATTTATAGCTGTGTGTTGTTTAATATTATAACTCTGGATATTAATTTGTATTGTTTATATCATTTATGTGTGGTCTATATGGTATTTATTATTACAAACTACTAGACTCGCCCAGCTCCCCTCCTTTCTGACACCCATCATAGGCCATCTGTATTTCTCCCCGGGACTCACAGATAGAGTGTTCAGATCCTGGGCTCCTTAAAGCCTCCAAACTCCTGAGTTCTGATAAGTGGAAGAAAATTGACGATGTACACTTAGATTCCATAACTCAACAAGTCACTAATTTTCTCTGATCACTGCCCAAACCATTCCTTTTTCAAAGACAAGTTACTCGATTTCAGGAGCTCTGCTAAGGTATAGGTGTCCTGTGAAAGACTCTCTCCGTATTTATCAAATACTAGTGAGAGCACATTCTCAGGAAGATCTCACATACTGTATCTAGCCAAATGGGGGGAAAGCGACCTGAATACCACATTTAAACAGCAGATCTATTAGTAAAAGCAGCAAATATTACACACATTACACCTTGTTAGGCACAGAGTTAAACCCTTTGAGTGCCCCAGATGTTAACCCCTTCCAGTCAGTGTCATTAGTGCAGTGACAGTGCACAGTATTAGCACTGATAACTGTATTAGTAGCACTATTGATGTGAATGCCAGATAGTGTACCTCCCAGCCAGTGTGTTAGCTAGTGCCAGATTGTCCGCCACACTATCATCGTTCCACTATAAGTCACTGATCACCACCATTAACAGTATAGCGTCATAGCTACATACTGTACATTCTAGTATATACAGTCAGGTCCATAAATATTGGGACATCGACACAATTCTAACATTTTTGGCTCTTTACACCACCACAATGGATTTGAAATGAAACGAACAAGATGTGCTTTAACTGAAGACTGTCAGCTTTAATTTGAGGGTATTTACATCCAAATCAGGTGAACAGTGTAGGAATTACAACAGTTTGCATATGTGCCTCCCACTTTTTAAGGGACCAAAAGTAATGGGACAGAATAATAATCATAAATCAAACTTTCACTTTTTAATACTTGGTTGCAAATCCATCAATTACAGTCTGAAGTATGGAACGCATAGACAGCACCAGACGCTGGGTTTCATCCCTAGTGATGCTCTGCCAGGCCTCTACTGCAACTGTCTTCAGTTCCTGCTTGTTCTTGGGGCATTTTCCCTTCAGTTTTGTCTTCAGCAAGTGAAATGCACGCTCAATCAGATTCAGGTCAGGTGATTGACTTGGCCATTGCATAACATTCCACTTCTTTCCCTTAAAAAGCTCTTTGGTTGCTTTTGCAGTATGCTTTGGGTCATTGTCCATCTGCACTGTGAAGCGGCGTCTAATGAGTTGTGAAGCATTTGGCTGAATATGAGCAGATAATATTGCCCGAAACACTTCACAATTCATCCTGCTGCTTTTGTCAGCAGTCACATTCTCAATAAATACAAGAGAACCAGTTCCATTGGCAGCCATTACATGCCCACGCCATGACACTACCACCACCATGCTTCACTGATGAGGTGGTATGCTCAGGATCATGAGCAGTTCCTTTCCTTTTCCATACTCTTCTCTTCCCATCACTCTGGTACAAGTTGATCTTGGTCTCATCTGTCCATAGGATGTTGTTGCAGAACTGTGAAGGCTTTTTTAGATGTCGTTTGGCAAACTCTAATCTGGCCTTCCTATTTTTGAGGCTCACTAATGGTTTCCATCTTGTGGTGAACCCTCTGTATTCACTCTGGTGAAGTCTTCTCTTGATTGCTGACTTTGACACACATACACCTACCTCCTGGAGAGTGTTCTTGATCTGGCCAACTGTTGTGAAGGGTGTTTTCTTCACAAAGGAAAGAATTCTTCGCTCAGCCACCACAGTTGTTTTCTATGGTCTTCCGGGTCTTTTGGTGTTGCTGAGCTCATCGGTGCGTTCCTTCTTTTTAAGAATGTTCCAAACAGTTGTTTTGGCCACGACTAATGTTTTTTCTATCTCTCGGATGGTTTGTTTTGTTTTGTTTTTTCAGCCTAATGATGGCTTGCTTCACTGATAGTGACAGCTCTTTGGATCTCATCTTGAGAGTTGACAGCAACAGATTCCAAATGCAAATAGCACACTTGAAATGAACTCTGGACCTTTTATCTGCTCATTGTAATTGGGATAATGAGGGAATAACACACACCTGGCCATGGAATAGCTGAGAAGCTAATTGTCCCATTACTTTTGGTCCCTTAAAAAGTGGGAGGCACATCTGCAAACTGTTGTAATTCCTACACCGTTCACCTGATTTGGATGTAAATACCCTCAAATTAAAGCGGACAGTCTACAGTTAAAGCACATCTTGTTCGTTTCATTTCAAATCCATTGTGGTGGTGTATAGAGCCAAAAATGTTAGAATTGTGTCGATGTCCCAATATTTATGGACCTGACTGTATATACATTAGTTTGTAGATGCTGTAACTTTCACACAAACCAATTAATATACACACTAACTGGGATTTTTTTTTTTTACCAAAGTACAATGCAGAATACATTTTGGCCTATTTATGAAGAAATTTGATTTTCTTTATTGCATATGTTTTTAACAGAAAGTAGAAAAAATATTGTTTGTTGCTTTTTAATTTTCAGTCTTTTTTGTTTATATAGTAAAATATAAAAACCCAATTGGGATCAAATCCCACAAAAAAAGCTCTATTTGTGAGAAAAATTAATTATATAAATTTAATTTGGGTAAAGTGTTGCACCACCACATGAGCACAGGTCAAAAAAATAGGAGCTCAAGTGGTTAAGCCCGTACTTTTTAAAAACAATCCCATCATTTATGGGGATCGGTGGAACCCTAAAAGAGAAGTATGGGATTTGTTAAATCATACTTACCTAGGTGTATGCAGCATTGGTCTGATGCTGCATCTGTGTCTGCCAACTCTAAGGGTGAGAACTCAGAGATCACATGACCGCTGATCGCTAAGTCCTCACAGCTGCTCTGAGCAGAGAGCGGTGAATGTCAGTCAACGTTCTCTACTCTGCCCCCTCTCCCACGCTCACTGGAGCTTTGGAGGGGAAGGGAGTGGCTGGTTCAGGCTCTAAGCAGATCACAGAGAGATTGAGCCGATGCCGCTCCAGACTCTTTAAAGTCGGGATCTTTCCGCAGCCTGGACCGACTGAGTGACGTCAGCCCGCTGTCATCTAAAAATTCAGTCACCGGAATGCAGAACAAACTGCACTCCTGTGATCCACAGGAGAAATACAGCCAAAAGAGCTTTGGCTGTACTTCTCCTTTAACTTTCCAAACCCCCTTCCTTTAAAAAACGATCCCATCATTTTTGGTGGTAGGTGCACTTTAAGATGCCCACATCTACCTTTGATCTGTGGATTCACCAGAATGCAATAGAAGAATAGAAGAGGTGTCAGCGGGAGAAGTTTGAGCAGTTTCTTACAGAAGCTGGACTAATGCTGGAAAAAGGCACTGAGTATTTTTTTCTTTTTCCACCAGTGTGAAAATTATATCTCTTTCATGACACCTTATGTAACATAACGTTTTGTCGTCATCTCAGTGCAGATCTTTTTCTTCGGAGGTCCCTAGAGTTCCCGCTTCTGACACAGTGCAACAATTGGGACGACACCCCCTTTGAGAACTCTAGGCAAGGCCCAGCCTGGCCTAACCAGGATACAGTCCCAGTATTGAGCTAGCACTTCAGCTGGCATAAGTCCCTCTGTCCCTGTCTACAGATCCATGTTCAGGGGTAACTGCCCCTCTTTGTAAATAATGACAGTTAAGGCCAGATTGCATATTGACAAAGGCATTTTTTTTCAGGTGTTTTTTATTTAAGCGTTTTTGCTGTGGCCAATAAAAACCTGTGTAGAAGTGTCCTAGGCACATACAACTGGAAAACCTGAATCAAGAACATGGCTGCTGTTCACAGAAGTACTTTACCTTTCTCCTTGATCTGGGGAGCAGTGTAGCTATTCCACTGGGGCAGTAAGGCTTGTCTCACTTCCTCCCAGGCTCTGATTTGTTCTTGTCTGGCTCTTATAATGGGGATCCCTTGGATCATAGATACAGGGGTGGCCACGAATGAGAGCAATGAATGTCTCAGCTTCCAGAAGCAGACTCTCCTCCATTTTGATCACAAAATGTGTGTTTATAAGGTGTGGAGTGATGCTAGAAAAGGGGAGGGGAGCTGCTGTTTGAGCTGAAGACGCCTGAAAAAAAAACACTAATTTCTTGCTGTTCAGGCATTTTCCATTCAAGTCTATGGGGACAAAAAACGCTCAACTCTGCCTGAAAAGTAGCGCATGTACTTTTTTGAGTGACAGACTTTTAAAAACATTCAGATGTGAACAAGGGCCATTGAAATGAATAGAATTTTCCTTGTTGAGCGCTTCTGAGCATCGAGCTTTGAGCTGAAAAACATTCAAGCCTAACGTTGGTAAGGAGGAAAGTAAGAATCCTTCGTTGCAGAAGAGACTTAATGCATATATCATTTCAGCATTAGAAATCTTGCCTGCTCACAAATTGTTTATTTTTACCTAAAGTTCATCTTTGAAGGCATTGTATACTTTCACATATGTTTGTTGTTTTAACTAGGTGTAGTTATATTACATGTGTCATCAGTTTGCCTTACCGTGTAATGATGGGCTCAAGTGTTACTGCTGCAGTTTTTTAGTGTTAGTGGCTAACTGATTCCCCTATGTTCATAGTATTAATTTGTCTAGTTTGTCACTAGGGATGGGCAACTTATTGTCAAGGTCACACAGCAACCAATACATGCCTTGCCATTTCCTGTGTGCTGCATCACAAATGTGGGAATGCTAATGTGATAAACAACTGCATGGTGATCTCTGTGTTAATTGCTTTGCTTGTTTCTTTGTTGGATCTAATTGCTACTTAGCTCTCACCTGAAAAGCACTAGACTGAGAGACCCAGGGATTGTGGGAAATGTAGTATCTTCAGACGAAGTGTCAGTTCTTAGACTACAGACAGAGATCATGTATTAAACTGTGCAGTGCCACGCCTCATGTTTGAATACTAATTCCAATTGCTGACACTGGAATGTGAAGATTTACTCTACTATAGGCAATGCTTACAAGGCAACAAATGACACCACGAAACTACATGATCCACCTACATCGTATGCATGTGAAAAACACAAGCTGCATGTATGAAGGTTTATAATGCCTTTATGAAATAGAACTGCTTGTTTAACGCAACAATGAACAAGGCTATAAGTAAAGTATTAGCTCATTGCCAAGCTAACTTTGTGTTTTATATTTTATAAAGCTATTAGGGATTCCTCTTCCACAACCCTTAGGACTCTGAAGAGCAATCCATGTCTCTGAACAGCATTTCTCAGGTGCTGAGGAGGTGCTGTATCATCTCCTCCCTGCCTGCTTTAACCCCGCAGTAGTGTGCCACAGCCTCGATCATTGCAGGGCTCTTACAGAGCAGCCTCATTCACTTGAATAGGTCACACTTGGTGGGCATAGCTCCCACAACAAGAGGTATAATGCCTGTCACAGCATATGCACATCCCATCCACTGCCTCTGTAGCTAAAGTATCAGGGGTAGAAGGTACATAGTAAACAAAACAGCATGCACAAAGGAGTTATGAGCAGAGAAGCAAACTCAGAATCAAAACAATATGCTGGCACTTGCAGACATGTCAAAAACCAGCAAAAAAAAAATACACCATGCATATGTTCAATAATCACCACATACACTTTGAAAGTATCCTGTGTAAAGTTGGCCATAGATGAATCTAAATTTGGGCCGGTTCAGCAGGAAACTGCTGAATTTCGGTCCATGTGTGGCCATTGCAGTTGAACAGAAATTGACCTGCCAGTCGACTTTTGTTCAACTGCTCTGTTGGATAAAAGCTGCTCGATCAGTATTCTGACAGTAGGGAGACTATCCCATTGTCAGAATACACAGATCAGCACGGCAACCATTGGTGAAGTGCTGTGGGAAGGACTCCCCATCTACCTCGCCCATCCCAAAACAGTATTTTTTCTAGCAAATGATTGGGTGTTTAGAGTGAACATGGCTTCCACCCTTTTAGTGTCTACACTTTCAGGTAATCAATTCCAGTGGCTCACTGGTCTGACGGAGTGTGTAGGCTAAAAGTTCTGACACTGGTTGCATGCTTATTATGGATTGGTGACTCGCTACCAGGCCCTACCAGGCCTACCAAGCTCCAGTCTCACTATTCTCATTTGTCTATTCTCTCGTGTTTCAGGTACATGCTCCTTGGCTGGTTGCTCTCTGTATGCTCATAAGACCACTTCTGAATACTTCGACCCTACCATTGTAACTGCAAAGTAAGTTCTGTTTTCCTGGCATCAAATAGAAATATTTGGCATTAATAATTTCAGGCCTAAAACTAACATGTAAAAAGTGAAGGTCACTGACCAAAACAAACATGTAGCAAGTGAAGTCACAGTTATGCCAGAACTCCTAATCTGCATACTTGTTTTTGGTTAGTGAATTAAGATGTATTGAAACCACTGTCATTAAATTGTTAAGGTTACATTTCTCAAGAAAATTCAGCTATATTTATCTTCAATCATTCAGTCATCTGAAAATTGCTATTTTTTTACATTTCTCTGCAGATAATCGGTTGTTCAAAGTGAACACAGGCTTATTGAGCTCAGTAAAATTGTACTCCTGTAGTAACTCATCCTCACTAGATCAGTATTAAAGCCAGGCAACAAGCATTTTAAAAGGAGATAAAAAATGGCAGCCCGCTTATTTCTGAGAGTACAGATTTCCTTTAATGCATGCTTATACCACAAGCACAACACAGTGTTTAAAAATATATTTGTGCATGTATTCCGAAAACCACACCTACAGCTACAGCTGTAATTGAAAAAGATCTGGGCTTCTTCAGAAACTGGCCATCACTTCAATGCCAAGACATTTGTTACATTTGCGGTCTATGACATCATCCGCTCACCCTCTCCACATCAGCTAATCAGAAGAAGTCCTACAGCTGATGCTACATACAGTTTATACAGGGCTCACGGTGGATGTATCTGTTAGTGAAGCAAATAGTTTGTTTGGACCAGCTTGGTTCAAACTATTTAAAGTAATAAGAAACCTGGAGTTAATCTTAGGGGCCAGTTCACACCAGACCGTGATGTAGGAAACCTTTGTTCCATGCATGTTTCCCGCACCGCATTCAAAACGCACTGCAATTGCAATCTGTAGCAGGTGTCAGTATTAACTTAACAATACCCCAAACGCAGGTGAAAAAACGCTGTGCATTTGCCTGCACTGGATCACATGGTACAACAGTACCATGCGATCCGTTTGCTGTGCATTTTTTAACCACTTGCCTACTGAACACTTATACCCCCTTCCTGTCCAGGCCAATTTTCAGCTTTCATTGCTGTCGCACTTTGAATGACAATTGCGCAATCATGCAACATTGTACCCATATGAAATGTTTATCATTTTTTTTTCACACAAATAGAGCTTTCTTTTGGTGGTATGTACTTGCTGCTGGGTGTTTTATTTTTTTGTGCTATAAACAAAAAAACAGCAAAAAATCTGAAAAAAAAAAAGTTTTTCTTTGTTTCTAGAATTTTGCAAACAGGTAATTTTTCTCCTTCACTGATGTGTGTTTATGAGGCTGCACTGATAGGCAGCACTGATGGGCACTGATAGGCAGCACTGATGGGCACTGATAGACAGCACTGATAGGTGACACTGATGAGGTGAGGTGATGGGCACGGATAGGCGGCACTGATGGTCACTGATAGGTAGCACTGATGGGCACTAAAGTGAAATCATGCACATAATACACACATGTGAATGAATCTAAATTCCTATAGTGAAAAATCAATCCTTCCAACTGAAAAACAATACGTGCTTTTACAAGTGAATATATACATATATACATATACATAAAAAATGTGCATTAACATATATATGTACCTAAACATACCCCATATAGTGAATAAGTCAAAACATGCATATATGTGAACTCAGTAAGTGCAACTGCACACAAACTTACGCCTTTGGATGTAATATGCATGGGTGTACAAGGGTGTACAAAGGTGTACCAAGATGGCCTCCACGCCGGAAGTGCGTCACTACGTTGGGCCGACGCGTTGCGTCACAATACCATGTGACTTCCTCAGGGCACTTCTGGCGTGGCAGCCATCTTGGTACACCTTTGTACACCCTTGTACACCCAAGCATATTACATACAAAGGCGTGTGGTTGGAGCCCTGAATTTTACTGTTCTGATGTAAGTGCGCATTTTATTTGTTACTATACTTGGCAATAAACATACTACACAATGGAAGCTTGTGTTTTATGTTCCATATGAGTTGTTTGCGCAGCATTTGATCTTGCTTGGAGAAGGAGCCATTATTGAAGTGCTGATCCCTGGGGGGAGATTTATATACAGTGGAAGCAGCCGTTTGGCGTGATACTTACCTGGAGGATCTGTGGGAGGGATCCTATTAAACGTTTTGACTCACAAGGGTCGAATCTTTAAGGTGAGAGGCTGATTCAGCCGGTGTTCGGATGATCTTCTGCTCAACTATCAACCCACTTTGGCACACAAATACCAGCATGAGTGTTTTTTGTTCACCTGAGTGTGATCATCCTTATTTGGACTTTATATACACGGAAATATATTTTGTTTGTGTGCAGTTGCACTTACTGAGTTCACATATATGCACGTTTTGACTTATTCACTATATGGGGGTATGTTTAGGTACATATATATGTTAATGCACATTTTTTATGTATATGTATATATGTATATATTCACTTGTAAAAGCACGTATTGTTTTTCAGTTGGAAGGATTGATTTTTCACTATAGGAATTTAGATTCATTCACATGTGTGTATTATGTGCATGATTTCACTTTAGTGGACACCATTTTTGTTCATTTATTTGATATTTATTTACCAGGTGTTTTATTTTGTCCACATGTTTATTTGAATACAAGCGAGTAGCGCTACATTGTTTCCACAATTTAATGCTGAAGATCAATGGTATATGATTTAATGTGAGCAGCTTCTCGGGATTATCTTTATTTGTGTTGGGAGTTATCCTGAGCGGAGGAGGTTCACACCATTACTGATGGGCACTGATATGTGGCACTGATGAGCTGGCACTGATGATGGGCACTGATAGGTGGCACTGATGGGCACTGACTGGCAGCACTGCTGGGCACTGATGAGTGGCACTGATGGATGGCATTGCTGGATGGCACTGCTGGGCTGCACTGATGGGCACTGGCGGGTGGCACTGGTGGGCACAGGTGGTGCCACTGCTGAGCACTGCTGGGCACAGGAGGGTGGCACTGCTGGGCACAGGTGGGTGGCACTGCAGGGCACCGATCATCAGGGCACTGATCATCAGTGCCCTGATGATCGGTGCTGATCCCTCCTCTCACAACTGCAGAACTTTCCTCACGCTGTGACAGTGCAGCAGATAACTGGCAATTGCATTTCCAGTGATCAGTGTGTCAATGGACACGGCTGATCACATGGTAAAAGGCCGCTGTGATTGGCTTTTTACCATATCGCGTGATCAGCTGTGTCCGTAGACTATCTGCAGTCGGCAAGTAGTGAAAGTAGTGAATGCACTACTTTTTATTCAGCACAATTTCAGTCCATTCAAATAAATGGGCTGAAATTACACTGTATCGCATGTAAATCTCACAGTGCATTGCTATGGTATGAACAGGCCCTTAATGACATTTGCTTATTTGCTTTTTCTTGCAGGTATGAGCTGGGGGCAGCTCTGTTTGTTGGATGGGCTGGATCTGTCCTATGCTTAGTTGGAGGATTCATTTTTTGCTGTACATTTCCATTTGACAATGTCATCCAAAGGTATGATGTAAAAGGCTTAACCATTCATCAATACACAGTGTAGGGCCCATAGAAATCCCAGTTAATGTATCTTATACTAATCTGGCTCCAGTAAACTGGTTTCTGTGGGTCACTGCACTTTCTGTGAGCTTTGTTACTTGCACTAGTTCATGAAAGGACTTTATTATTATTATTATTATTATTATTATTATTATACAGTACTTATAAAGCGCCAATAGTTCACTCAGCGCTGTACATTACAAAGGGGGACAGAACATGTGACAGAACAATACCAATACAATGCAAAACATGAGGGGATCGAGGGCCCTGCTCTTTCGAGCTTACAATCTAGAAGGGATGGGATAGTGGTACAGGAGGAGATAGCTGTGGGGGATGGAGTGGTAGGAAGAGTGGAGGAGGTCAGCAAGTTAGCAGGGGGTGAGGTAGGCTTCCCTGAAGAGATGGGTTTTCAGGGTGCGCCTAAAGGACAGGAGAGTAGGTGATAATCTGATGGGTTGGGGAAGGGAGTTCCAGAGGATGGGTGACACCCTGGAGAAGTCCTGGAGGCGGGGCATGGGAGGAGGAGACCAGGGAACTAGAGAGAAGGAGGTCTTGTGAGGAGCGGAGTGTGCGTGCTGGGCGGTACTTGGATATTAGGTCAGTGATGTAGTTCGGGGCAGTATGGTGGACAGCTTTGTACGTCAGTGTTAGGATTTTAAATTTGATCCGTTGCGCAATCGGAAGCCAGTGGAGGGATTGGCAGAGGGGGGTGGCGGAAACGGAGCGGTTGGAAAGGTGAATGAGTCTGGCAGCCGTATTCAGGATATCGACTGAAGCGGGGATAGCCAGCGGCGAGGCAGGTCAGTGAGGAGGGAGTTGCAATAGTCGACTCGTGATATGATGAGGGAGTGGATGAGCTGCTTAGTGGTTTCTGGGGTTAGGAACGTGTGGATTTTGGCGATGTTGCGGAGGTGGAGTCTGCACGAGTTTGTTAAAGATTGGACTTGGGGCTGGAAGGATAGGTTGGAGTCCAGAATGACACCAAGTACTCTGGCCTGCAGAGCGGGTTTGATATTGGCGTTGTTGGATGTGATGTAGAAGTCAATGGGGGTGGGGTTCGGGCTGGGGGGAAGACAAGGAGCTCGGTTTTGGAGAGATTCAGTTTAAGGAAGTGGAGCGACATCCAATCTGATATGTCGCTCAGTAGGTGTGTGATTTGGGCAGAGACCGAGGGGGTGAGGTCGGGGGGGTTGAGAGATAGATTTGTGTGTCGTCGGCATAGAGGTGGTAGTTGAAGCCGTGAGAGTGTATGAGTTGGCCAAGGGAGGAGGTGTAGATGGAGAAGAGAGAACTTTATAATGTATATGAACTTTTTGATAATGTGCCTTGTTTACATAAACTAAAATATGATCCATGGACACATTAAAGTGGTTTTAAAGTCTAAAGTTTCTACCTTAATGCACTTTGTGTTAAGGTAAAAATCCTTCCACTGTCTATCCCCCTCCCTAACCCTATTTGCATGGCTCCTGTATAGATGGAGTGCTGTGCCCTGCTGCAGCACCTCCATCCCTCTCTTCCTGGTTTCACAGGGTTTGCTAAGGGCCCCACTGCTGCCAGTGAAATCCAATGAGCAGAGAGCGGGCCGAGCTGACTCTATAGACGCACACAGCCCAGCCTGAGAGCAAGGCGCACGCGCCCCTATAGCAGACAGCTTGCTATGGTGCTACATTGGGAAGAGGAGTCTAAAGCAATGGTGGGGGACCCCAAAAGAGGAGGTTCAGGGAGGCTCTGTGCAAAATCATTGCACAGAGCAGGTAGATATAAACATTTTTATTATTTTACCAATAAAAAAACAGACTTTGCAACCACTTTAATATCTTTATAACACCTCATAATCCTAGACAGAGGAAGCCATTTTTTTGGCCGATCTGTAAAACAAGCAGCTAGGGACAGTTTATAGCTACCAGTAATGATACAAATGGGTCCCAGGTGTTTATTGTATTTTTCTTTACATTCTTTGTATATAAGATATATTAGCCTTTTTCTTTTACAATGGATTTTATTGTAGAGTAGACAACATCAGAGAAACAGTCAGAAACAAAATCACTGACCAATAGAAATAAAGCATACAAGTTTTCTGATGAATAATACAATAAATGCACTGAAGTATAGGCAAGGAAATAAACTGAGTACACAAGCACAGAAAAGAGAAAATAAAACATAATAATTTGCAAAAATGGCATACAATTAGAGACCAATGAATTAGTAAACAAAGATCAAAGATTATCACAGAATCCGCATACAGAAGGCAGAAAAAATAAAACACAATCCTCACTGGATGCACATTGGTACTCCACACCTAGGACTCCCCAGGAAGTCCAGCAGATAAATATAGTATTGCTGGTACGGTTCTCAAAAAAAAAAAAAAAGAAGAGGCTACAATCAGCACAAATATGATGAAAACAGACAAAACAAAGAAAAGAAAGGGAGGAACAAAGAAAGGAAAAACAAAAGACAAAGAAAAAAAAAAAAGAAAGGGGCTCCAGGGGACTGCGACAGAAACTAAATCCTATATCGACAAAAGGGTCTGGTCAAATCTAGATGGTTGGTCTATAATATTAGCCTTTTTCAACCAGGATGCCCATTACCTTCTGCAGATGCGCACAGGTGCCATTAATTCCTAATGGGATTCCCATACATCTGGAAAATTCATGTGATGTTCATGTGCTGCTATTTGATCACTTAAAGTGTTTTTAAAGGCTTAAGGTTTTTTTACCTTCATGCATTCTATACATGAAGGTAAAAACCTTCCCTGTGCAGCAGCCTCCCCAGACCCCCCTAATACTCACCTAAACTCCCTCTCGATCCAGTGATGTGCACTGAAGTCTTGCCTATCCCAGGACTTCCTCTCCTCATTGGCTGAGACAGCAGCGGGAGCCGTTGTCAATCACAGCCAGTGAGCTAATGAGAAGAGCAAGGGGGCCGGGCCGAGCCACGGCTCAGTGTGTGAACAGACACATAAAGCAGCGGGTGCCCCTATAGCAAGCTGTTTGCTGTAGGTGCACCCGACAGGAGGGGGGGTCAGGAGAACCAGCGGCGGGACCCGAGAAGAGGAGGATCCAGGCTGCTGTGTGCAAAACCACTGCACACAGCAGGTAAGTATAACATGTTTGTTATTTTTAGAACAAAAAATGTAAGCCTTTAGTATAGCTTAAAAACAGCCCCATCAAACAGATCTCTGGAGCTGCCCACATTATGGTGGGCATTATGGGAACTGTAGTGTGCAGGGAGACATCTATTTCACTAGTATGTGATAGGCACAGCAAGGAACAACCTCCCAGAAACTAGCAAGATTCAGAGGATATTTGCATGTTAATCATAATGTGACTGGTTTTAATAAAATAATCTCCCTACATTTTAAAAAACAACTTTTTATTTTTTAGAGTGGGTTAAAGTGATACTAAAGCTTTTTGTTTAAATAACAAACATGTCTATACTTACCTGCTCTGTGCAGTGATCTTGCACAGAACAGCCCTGATCTTCTTCTTCTTGGGTCCTCACCGGTGCTCCTGGCTCTTTCTCCCCAAGGAGTGCCCCTAGGGAATGCCGCTCACCCTGGGTGCACCGCTGCATGCTCATCCCCGAGCCATTGCTCTGTGCATGCATAAGACACATAGAGCCATAGCTCGGCCCCGCCCTCTTCTTACTGGCTCTCTGGCTGTGATTGCCAGTAGCAGGAGCCAATGGGCTCCCGCTACTCTCACAACCAATGAGGAGGAAGAGTCCCCAGACAGCAGAGGCTGTCTAGAACAGCGCTGGATTGGAGGAGGGGGGCTGGGGGTTCACTGTACACATAAGGTTTTTTTTTTACCTTTATGCATAGAATACATGAAGGTAAAAAAAATCATCATAAACACCTGATGTTTAGGTAATCTTACCCTAGGTATATATTATTACCGCTTCATTTGCCTAACACAAGAATACATTGCAGGTTTTTTTTTTCTCCAAAGCTTTGTATTGCATAGAAAACATTTTTTTATGTAATGTTATATGCTCAATCACCAAACTTAACACACCAAGAAAAGGATCACAAGTTAAAAAAATTACCATAATTGTCAGTCCAATGAGATTTGAATATTATAGTCCCATGTCTAAAATAAAGAGCCTTATCCTTGTGTTAAATCTTTGTGAATTAAGCCTTTTATATTACAGTATGGTAGTTTCTGTACATTGGTGTTGCTTGCAAGAGGCATGATAACATGACATGCAGTATAACTAAGGCTTGATTCACACTGCCGTGACTTAAGAGAGCTGTCTTAATTAGCACTTGAAGTTGCTCTATTGAAAAGGTTCCTGTACTACTTCAAGGTGACTTCTATCCGACTTGAGTCCTTTAATAGTCCTTTAAAGTTGCTTCCAAGTTGGATGCTCATCTATATTGATGTGATTTGGATCTGACATTACAGGAAGATTACCTGTAATGTCTGATTAGTTGCTTCAAAGTTGCATCAAAGTAGTATTCAACTTGCCTGGCAAAGTCGCACTGCAAGTCGTGCGACTTTCAGGTGGGAGTAATGTGAACTGAGACTAAAGGAGTAGAGAGAGAGAGATTAGAACACCTGTCAGGTTTCTATTGCTGTTTGTGCCACCTGTTGGGGAGATGTATCCTCTCTATTTGTCTTGTTTACTGTTATTCCCAAAAGTAAAAGAAAACCCCAAATTTTGGGTTGCCCCAGAATGAGAATAGAGGGGAAATCTTCCAATGGAGAAACAGTTCTGGTGACCCTGGTGACAGTCAGGAATTCCCTTACTTTGGAGGGATTTCCTTTCACTTCCTGTTTTGGCTATATGACAGGAAGTAAGGGAAACCTTCCCCAATGAGACACATATGGCAAATAAATATCTGACAAAAGGTTAAAACCAATCCTTACTCTATCCAAAATTATAAAAAAAAGTTTTGCCAGGAAAAAAAACTTTGAAGTAGAACTAAACCATCCTATCCTGAAAAACTGAAGATGTTGCACCTTAGCCTCTACTTAGAACGGAGGTTATCATGGTGCTGCA